TGGCGCCAGCTCTTAGGCCTCAGCTGCTGAAAGCAGGTATCTGGTTTGTTTGGGTTCTATAATCGAAACACTGTTTCAACTCCAGCTCTGAGATCCTGGCTGGCTGAAAACAGGTTTCTGGGGTTTTGTTTAGCTTCTATATTTGTAACAATGTTTCAAACTGCAAGCTCAGAAGCCAGCAGCAGTAGGCGGGGAAAGTTGGCTTCCTCCGTCACTGGATCAAGGAAGCCTCATGTTCGCTTCAAGCTGCCTGGCTGCTGGCCGCCATCTTGGCTGGCAGTTAATTTGCATATCGCCCTGATTAGCCAATGGGAAGGGTAGCAGAGGTATGGCTAATTACCATGTTTCTCTTTTATTAGATAGGACTAGATGCTCAGTGCACAAATTTGAGCATGGGTGGGGTCCAGCTGGCCCGGCCCCAATTAGGGCCAAATCAGGGCTGGGTCAGCCAGGGGAGCAGGGGCTGTGGGAAATTGGCTGGTGGGCCCCACCCCAATTGGGTTTGGTGGGCTGATCAGAGGCAGAGCTGGCTGGAGGGAGAGGCCACAGGCCAATCGGGGTGGTGGTGGCTGATTGGGAGTGGAGCCAGCCTGGGGGAGGGGCTGTGGGTGGTTGGCTGGCTAGCCCCACCCCGGATTGGTGTGTAGGGGGGGGCGATTGGAGGCAGGGCAACCCAGGGGGAGGGGCCACGCGTGGTTGGCCATCTGGTCCTGCCCCTGATCAGAGTTGGGGGCCCATTGGGGGCGAGGCCAACTGGGGGAAGGGCCATGGGAGGTTGGCTGGCTGGCCCCACCCGGGATCTGCTGGTTCACTGGCTGCAGTGGGAATCATAACAACTGGTTGTTACACTGTTCCGGTCGCTGGCTTTTTATAGATATAGACTAGAGGCCTGGTGCATGAAATTCGTGCATGGGGGGGAGGGTCCCCTCAGCCCAGCCTGCACCCTCTCCAATCCAAGACCCCTTGGGGGATGTCCAACTAAACCAGGCCCAGGGATCGGGCCTAAACCAGCAATCGGATAGCACTCTCACAATCCTGGACTGCTGGCTCCTAATTGCTCACCTGCCTGCCTGCCTGGTCGCCCCTAACTGCCTCACTCTGCCAGCCTGATTGCCCTTCCCTGCCTCAAAAAAAACTGATTGCCCCCAACTGCCCCCGCCCCTTGCCAGCCTGGTCGCCCCACGCAGCCTGTTCAGTCGTCTGTTCAGTTGCAATGGTTGCTTAGGTTTTTATATAGATAGATATTTCACAAGGGGGATATATTACGTTAGCTAGTGCTTCAATTTGAATTATAGCTACAGGGTCCTTTTCCTTAAATTGAGTTTTTTAGAGCTGAATTAGTTACATCATAGTGATTTAAAGCTTTTGGGTAAACTTAAACCCCTATGTCAAACATAGCTGATAATTTAAAATGAAAAAAGTTCTAACCAATAGAAGAAATCATGTTCTTTCAAGGTGATATAAGTCAAAGTTCTTGGAGCTACTATTAAAATATACAAGCAATTTTATATTGATACAACAGAAAAGTCTTTGCCTTTTTTAACAGCCTTTGGCAGAAGATCAACTTATGATTGGATATAAAAAAAGTATAGATTAAATTTTTTTCAACTACAGTTTACATTCAACACTATTCTGCACAGCAAAGTGGGCAGAAAATCACACACTTTACAGAGTGGTCCCCTGTTGCCCCAAGTACCCACTTAGCCCCACACACATACATCATTTCATTATTAACTATATTACCTATGCTGCAATCTACATCCACATGGCTATTCTGTGCTGCTGATTTGTAGTGCTTAATCCCTTCACCTTTTTCACCCAGTCCCCCAACCCTCCTCCCCTCTTGCAACTGCCAATCTGTTCTCAGTATGGGTTAAATTTTTATAGAAACAGGTGTGAATATTCACTTATCTGAAAATAATCTGTAATGGCTTGCCCAGGACTGTTCTTTCCAAATCACCTGTATAAATTTCCTCATCAATAGTGACTAACCAAGGAGGGCAGCATTCATTTCAGTTGTTCATTACATTTTCTAATCAAAGCTGAATTAAAGAAGAGAGCCTTATAATTTTGTTTCCACACTGCTCATTCATGCACTGGCTGCTTTTCAGATCATTAGTCTGAGGACAGTGTGATATGCACTCAGTTCCTAGTGAGCACCAGGCCTTTATCGGGATGGATGTTTGGGGCATCATCTTCCCAACATCTGGGTCCCTGGGACTTGGAAACAATGAAGTAAATGAACAATCCACATAGCCATTTCCTGGGATCTTCTTGTCATCAAGCTGCTCAGATTGCTTAATTTGGGGAGATTCAGCCCCAGGTTTTCTCCTCTTAGCCTCACGTCCTTCCTGAGCAAGCCTGGGTATTCTCCAGGAGGCACTGTATCTAGCTGTGTATATAAAGTGAGGTGTAGATTACTATGACGGTGGGTGTAGATGAACAAGGGTGAAACTAGAGCTCTGATTGTTTAAAAAATTAGGGCCTGCAGTAGAGGAGCAGTTGCCTTTGATTTCTCCTTGATATGACCTATGTAGAGTTGAGGGCCAGTAGACAATCAATACTGGAATAATGAGCATAAGAGAAAATCTAGTTTGTTTGTTTATAATTTTTGTTTGTTTGTTTGTTAATCTTCACCAGAGGATATTTTTTCATTGATTTTTAGGGAGAGTGGAAGAAAGAGGGAAAGACAGAGAGAGAAACATCAGTGTGAGAGAAACACATTGATTGGTTGCGTCCTCCATGAGCCCTTACCAGGGCCCAGGCCCAGGAGGAACTTGCAAACAAGGCACGTGTCCTTGACCAGAATTGAACCCGGGACCCTTTGGTCCGCAGGCAGACACTCTATCCACTGAGCCGAACCAGCTAGGGCTGTTTATAAATTTTGAGGATTATGACAATCATTGATGTCATAGAAACACTGATTAAATGCTACCATACTATTTCTATCAAAGCATTTCCAAGGCACCATCTACAAAGTACCTAAAAGCTCTGATGGACACAGGAGTGGATGAGGTTTGGGGTAAGAGCAGTAATGTTGGCACATTGCATTCTGGGAAGTTTAGCTCCCAATAGTAAAGCAGTTTTGGCAGGCTGGGGAGAGAGAACCCAGCCGATGTGCAGGCTAGTTTCTCATTTACTCTTTCAATTTAGAGCCCCAGAGAGAAGCAAGTACAAAGTCACTTTCAAGTGGTTACAGTCAATACATAAATGAAGATTATGCAAAGATCATGATATACACCATATGAAATAAAATGTTAAAAGGGAGAATTGGGGAACTTTAAAGATAAAGTCATATTTGAACTGGGCTGTTTTTGAAAAATTGAAACTTGCCAAGAGAGAAAAAATATCTACACAGGGAATTCTGTGAACAGGGGGACAGAAGGTGGAAAGTGTTGGGCCTCTGGAAGCAGCAGGTTTATGGTTTAACTTTCCTGGGCATGTAAGGAAGAGTAATCAGAGGTCAGTTTAGAAAGGCTAATTGGAACCACACTGTGGAAGGCCATGAATTGAAGACCCTTGGATGTATTCTGTAGGCAACGAAGAAGAATGAGGTACTATCAAGAGGACTGACTGCCCATGAAGGCACGACTTAGTAGATACATGGTCTGTCTGGTGACCATTTACATGGACTGATCACTGCAAAAGGTCCTTCCGCCACTGCTCCCGCCCCACCCCCCCCCAGACTCCTCAGTTGAGGTAGCTTCCTTTATGGAAGTTACTTTACTACACTTATTAGCAGCTTTCTACACCCAGCCTTTCGAGGAAAGACTTTAAGATATCACCTTTGTCTTATAAGCATTCGAACATATTTTAAAACATATGAGGATATTTCAAAACATCCAAAGATGTATCTAGTATTTTCCCAACAGAGATAATTGATTCTGCAATGTGTGCCAAATTATGTGAAACATTCCTTTAGCATCTAAAAGTAATGTTTGGTGTTTCTTCAGATGTATTCTCATTTATGCTGATAACTGCCTTGGGCCTCACAGTTTTCATCATGTTTTCTGATTTTCAAGCTATATACCGAAGAATGGAGGTAAGTGGTATTCGTTTGCACATCTGTTATGACTCACATGTGCAGTGGGACCATATTTGCATTGTAATTTCCAATTCTGTTGTTACCATAATCTCTCTGATCACTGAGAGACTATTCCTATTTATTAGAAGTGCAAGTGATATATCTGGATCTTACATACACTAGCCTCTCATTGTTTTCATATTATTGGTATTCCCAATTGGGTATATTTATTTCGTTCACAACTGAAATATTATATTTAGATACTTTATTCTTCAATGTTATACTGGTATAATAAGTTTTATGCATTGATTCAATAATTAATTTTTCAAGTTTAATATTTTAAAACATATAGTAGAAATCCTTCATACCATAGCTGTGAGGAGTAAGAAAAAGTAGACTTATAGGTCAATCATATTTCTATCTGTCAGAAACTGACTGTAAGTTTTATTTGATCCAGGGTACAGTGGGTTAAAATTAAATTTATTAGAGGTTAGTGAGCCCATTCTTGGACCCAACATTGTGGGAGAAATAAAAAAGTATTGACCTACTACCATATCTTACAGCCTCTCCAGACAACCCTTGCAGTGAGTGTGCTGTTTTTCACAACCGAGAGAAAGGCTGTCTCCACTTGGGGGAAAAATAACTCATATTAGAATAGACATGAGAATTAAAAGTGAGCATTTTGATACTGTGGAGGACCTGTAGTTTTAGTCCTAAAGGCAGCTCAGTCTTCTACATAGTTAGCCATATTCTGCCATGTAGGATCAGAAATGAGGCTTTGTAGTTTTTTTATGTGTGTGTTTGTGTGTGTGGGTGTGGGTGTATGGTTTGGTTTTTTTGTTTGTTTGTTTGTTTGTTTGTTTGTTTTGCTATGGATGCAGCCATGGGAAGTTGTAGCTCTTACACTCATTCAATAAGTCAATATGTACCCTTTGATCCTTAAAAGGAGGTGGCTTGGGTAGGTTTGACTTTCATCAAGCCATTGGTTTAGGGCTGGGAAGATGTGTTCAGAAAATGTTCCCTTCACTTCAATTAAAATAAACTTAAACTTCTGCCCCCTTATGTTCACCCATAGGTCAATTTTACTGAAAGAATAAATTTCAGGTAGATGTAGCTTTGGGAGAATTAGAAGTAATAATGTAATTAGATGAATGATTTAATCATATACCCTGTTTGCTGGATTTGAAAAGACAAAAACGAAGAGAGACACACAGGCTTCCGAATGCCCTGTCTCACGCCTGCAGCCCAGGGCACATTTACTCCATGTCTGTCATCAGGCACTGGAGGGAGCACAGGACAAGAGGCAGCTGGTTCTCCTTTGAATTCTGGCTCTGCCTTTTATCTCTTGGCTTTGAGTCCTGGGCAAGGTACTGACCTTCTCATCTGTAAAGTGCTGAAAATAATGCCCACCCTCCGAGCTCAGAGAGTTGTTACAAATATGTAAATTAAATATGTTTTTTCAAAGTGTAAGGTATGAAAAGTCTCATAGCAGTATTCCTTTTTCCACAGTTCATCCCAACCACAACATCATGGAGGGTTTCAATTTTGGTGGCAGCCCTCATCCAGTTCTGCGTGGCCTTCTTTGTAGAGGTAAAGTGATTTCTGTGTGGTTCCTATCATTCTTCCAGGGAGATATGCAAATCAAGGACCTCATTCTCCACAGATGCTCATTTTTTAGAGCAAACACCTTTGTCCCCAATAGTGAGAGTTAAGAAGGGTTTGTAAAAACTGTGCATGTACCCTTTGGGGGAAATTTCTTATAGAATGATTTATAGTTCTTTGAAGGCTGCATAGAAATGCTCTTGATATCTGTAGTATAGAAAGCAAACCATGAAAATAGCTCTAATTTTGCCTCATTTGAAGGCACTGTATTGTACTTTTCCAGTGAGCTCAATTATTCCTTAGAGACTGGACCAGGTGATCTTCCCGCTTGGAAATTCAATGAGACCATTTACAGTGAAGCTCTGTCTTCAGGAGGCCTTCCTTAATCAAGAGAGAAGGGAGGCCATTGCTCATTCTAGTCAATTCTTACCCTGGAAGGTCTTCTCCGATAGCATTTCTCTTCTACTTAGTGTCACTAAGTCACTTTACCTACTCAGTGACAGTTTCAGGTTCTGTATTTTTTAAAGAATAGTTGTTGTTTTTTTTTTAAAAAAAATATTCATGTACCATATGTTCTTTGGGAAAGAGAATCAACCAAATTTTTAAACACACACACACACACACACACACACACACACACACACACAAATATTCCAGTGAATGCAACCAATATAAAATTTCTCATACTTTTTAACTGAGGAATTCTAGTTCTGAGACTATATTTTTTTTAAAAAGTGAGAGAAAAAACACACATGTATGACGGTATTATCATAGTATTACCTACAGTGGTAAAATATTAGACTGGACTCACATGTTTGAAAGTAAAGATGCTGTTTGTTTAGTTATACAGAAATTTGAAGAGATGCTATACAATCATTAAAAAGGAGTATTAAGAAGACTGTAGCTACAAATTGTATATGAAAGTCTAGTACAAGCAAAAGTGAAATGCAAACTTTGACAAGTTCTGTTATGTGTAAAAATCATTTGCATGTGAGCCTAAAAAGAAAAAAGAACCCTAAATGGAAAACAAAATCTATTTGATTGCAAGAGTCCATCTATTCATTCAACAAGCCTTTATTTGTCATCTTCTAGGTGGCATATGGCAGGTAGCAGTGATTTGTCTTTTCTTGATTTTGAGTACATTATTGAGTACAATACCTGGTGGTCGCTGGCAGTCAACTAATTCTAAGTGAATCATTAGCTAGAATTTAACTGGGAATCTGTGGAAATGAAAGGCTTACCTTCAGCAGATTTCTGAGAACACAAGTACACTTGCTTCTCCAGGGAATGAAAGGGGAGTTGTTTGACTTGGTGGGGCCTACAGGGGGGAGAAGCCAGCATAGCAGCAGCAAGAAGCACCTCTCAGGGGAAGGCTGGGGGACAGTGTGTGGTGGTAGCAGGGGCCTGGAGCTGGGAGAAGCCAGTGACCAGGCAGCAGGGGAAGTGGATGATGGTTTGTTTTTTTTCCATTGGATTTCCCAGGATGCCATCCTTCAAAATCGAGAGCTCTGGCTATTGATCAAAAATAAATTTGGATTCTATTCGAAAAGTCAATATAGGAACTGGCAAAGGAAGCTGGCAGAAGACCCCACTTGGCCTCCCACAAACAGGACGGACTATTCAGGCGATGGCCAAAATGGGTTCTACATCAACCGAGGCTATGAAAGCCCTGAACAGATCCCAAAGGGAAAGCTCCAACAGGGAGGCCAAAACACAGAACAGCATTTTTGGACCCGACTGTAATCAGAATTTTTGTTGTACATACTTAACAGCATCCCCTTCCCTCCAGAAAATACAGCACTGTGGAGAGGTGAGGGTAGCTTACCCTTATCTGTTCTCTCTCCAGCTGAGGACTCAAAACACATTTCTCAGTGTACTGAGCTTTGCAACAAAGAACCTTAACGATGCTTATTTTGACTGTATCCTACCCTTTACCAATGAGGGGAAAAAATACATTGCCTGGATTATCTATTTTTTAAAAATAAACTTTATTCACATTACATAGCATTATCCTGGTAAAAATATACAGCTTTTCACAGTAGTGAATTTAATGGTATGAACATCAATTTTTAAAAAAAGGAAAATTTAAAAAGAATTTGATCATTGAAAGTTTCACAAATATATTTTTATTTTCATCTACAGAAATAAAGCATTTGAAAAACACACCCTTCTCTGAATAAACTGTCACAAGTTTACTTAACCTTACATTCGCTTGCGAAGAACATTTATGTACAAGTATTTTTCCAAGGTCACAAAATTCCTTCTTGCTCCTTTTGTACAGTTGTAAGAGAGAAACAGGAATTGACATTTACTTAGAAAATTCAGCTCTAACCGTGGTGACCCGGAGCTGTGTGGCAGTGGAGAATGATGGAAGTGTCCGTTTATCGCATGTAATCTTGGCGTGGGCACAGCTAGCTTCTAAGAAAACTCCACCAAAGACGGCATTTCCCAAAACATATTGTTTTGGGGCCAATGAGCTATGTCCAGAGTCGATCACAAAGGTAATGAAATAAACGGTTAAAATGTACTTTTACATGAAAGAAGCACAGCACCTCTATTTACTCTTCATTACTGACAGGTGAAACCCTTAAATTGTTGTTTTTTTTACTCTAAAAGTTGGCCCGAAGTCCGTATTACTCATCTTAAAACACAATCCTAGGGGAGGGATGGACCCATAATGTTTGTATCTACACCATGACAATTTTCAGGCTACTAAACAATCTCACATTTCATTTCATCTTTTCATTATCTAAATCAATGCACATTAACAGCTACAAGAAGGGGTCCATCCTTTACAAATATATCGTGTACACTATTCTCTTTAGTACATATCAACTCCACTGTGACCTGAGAGAACATTTATTTCTAGTGAACATTGTGTATTATCTACTAGGCATTATTTGTACAATAAATCGAATTTTGCTAACTTAACAGAACTTCAACAGTTCATAGGCATTAGGTAACCATCCCATTCCATGTGCCAATTATGTGCCAAACACTGATGTATGCTTTCAATAATGTACTTACAATTCTGAAACCTTTAGAAGTGAAAAACAATTTTTACATTTCATCAATTTGTTTCTGTAAATAGGACTAAAGGCTTTGTTACACAAACCAGCAGCATTAATGCAAATTTTTATAAAAACAACCCTCTATATTTACATTTTATTTGCAAAATCTTGTTTTTACTTTGATGCACAGCTCTTGGAAAATGATAATTTTCAAAATGTGTCTTACTTAGTGTCTACTAATAAATGATAAGAAGATAACATATATTTATCTTATGGTTAAAAATTGTATGTCAACATAAAAAATATGTAACTCGGGCATTTAATAATTTGACCATTAGCACAGGAGGATTCAACTTATACCCTATGACAGATAGCATAAACAGGTTTCTTAAAATCTTGATTTAATAAAAGTACACCTTTTTTTTTTTTTGCCCCAGTTTTTCCAACAAGATTTTTGGTATCTGATAGGTGATCATTTTATTTCACAGATTTCTTTGGAAGTGGAATATGTTAAAGTTGAAGTCTATACTTAACATTGCTAACTATATGCTCAGAGAAAGGTTTAATAGTCTTGGGGAAAAGCTTCGATAAAAGCATGAGCATGACCATATATCAAATGATCACCTATTGCAGCGATTTTCAACCTTTTTCATCTCGTAGCACACATAAACTGATTGCTAAAATTCTGTGGCAACCAAAAAATATATGTTTTCCTGATCTGACAGCAAAATAAGTATAATTTTGATTCATTTACACTGATGGCTATTGTTGTGTTGGCTGTTGTCATTTTTTTTATTTGACAATCTACGGGAAAAGAGGTTGGTGCCCCTGACTAAATAGTCGGGTACTGCATGTTTTAAAATTTCCTGCAGCACACCACACACTGGTTGAAAATTGCTGATCTATAAAAAAACTGCCCATCAACAGGAGTGGCCATTTTTATGGGAACACTGATGGCTAACTGTGAGCTTACTTTCAAGGGTGAAAATTATTGGAGCCTAGAATACTACCTATGTGAAAAATTAATCCATAAATTTATCAAAGTTCATAAATGAAATAAGCCAGTCAGAGAAATACAAGTTTCCTATGATCTCACCTACATGTGGAATCTAATGAACAAACTAAACTGATGAACAAGATAGATCCAGAGACATGGAAGCATGGAACAGACTGAGGGGTCTCAGACAGAAGGACGGAGGGGGGACAGGAAGAGATTAACCAAAAAACTATATGCATATATGCATAACCCATGGACACGAACAATAGTAAGATGAAGGTGGGTGGGGGGTGGAGCTCTGGGTGGAGGGGGGTCAATGAGGGGACAAAGGGGGACATCTGTAATACTTTCAAACAATAAAGATAAATTTAAAAAACTAAAAGTGCATTTTTGGCATTATCTAGCTCTAGCATGTCTTCCGAAGTGGCAAAGTCCAGAGTTCTTTAGAAAGGTTTGACATGAGTTATTCTTAGATCTGTTCTCATGTCTGGTCCCTCCCCCATCCACCAATGCTTTAATTCCACCACACCCAAGACTCCTGTTCTGGGTTAAGATTTGCCCTCCAAAGTCACTTTTATTAAAAGATAAACACATCTTGGGAGAGGTAATACATTAAACCACCATCAGTCTCATCCTAATTTGACAATACTAGAAAAGAGCTCATTGTTTTAAAACTATTACTCGAGGACAGGACATGAAAGAAACAGGAAACTAAATTTAGAAAAAAAATGAATGAGTATTTTTAGATCATGGTATCTGGTAGGAGACATCCATTACCCTCCCTCCCCCAGGTCCACTAGAGGAAGGGAGATGCCATAAGATTGAAAAGAGAAAAGTCAGGGAACAAGGAAGAAGAAAAGATCTCTACTGGCTCTGATTGCAGTACATGACCCCTTCTGATACTATTCTTAACCCTGCAGCTAAACTGTAGAGTATTTTTGTCCCTGGGGTAAAATCTAAATCCGTTTAATAGGTTCAAGTCTTTCTTTGAGTCTTCTGTCCCTTTATCTATCATACTAAAGGCCCAGTGCATGAAATTTGTGCACAGGACAGGGTCCCTCAGCCCAGCCTGTACCCTCTCGCAATCCAGGACCACTGACTCCTAATCACTCACCTGCCTGCCTCCCTGATCACACCTAACCACCTCTGCCTGCCTGCCTGATTGCCCCTAACCACCTCTGCCTGCTTGCCTGATGCCCCTAACTGCTCCCCTGCTGGCCTGAGCACCCATAACCACTCTCCCCTGCCAGCCTGAGCACCCCTAACTGCTCTCCCCTGCTGGCCTGATCACCCCTAACTGCCTCTGCCTTGGCCCCTGCCACCGTGGCTTTGTCTGGAAGGATGTCCGGAAAATGTCCAGTCTAATTAGTATATTACCCTTTTATTAGTATAGATTCCTAGTTCCTTTATGGCACTCACCCTCAATGTTTACTTGAATTTTTCCTGTATCTAATGCCATGATGTCATTGGCTGCTTGTGTGTTTTGCAAAGCAGTGCTATGCTACAATGTCCAATAAAATCTTAGGGTAGAGAGACCTGCAACCATTTTTCACCACATGCTGCAAACAAGAATTCTACTAGAAAAGTATTAAAAGTAATTTGTTTCATTCAACACATAATCAATAAAATGCAAGAATGAAATCACAATGCTCCTTGACTTACAGTAAAAACCTTAAAAAATAATATGGGATATTGTTTTCTAAATATGGCCCCTTACACCTACTTTAATGATCTCTTTCTAGGTTAAAAATCCTTGAAATACTTCAAAATCCACAGGGAACAAAGTAGGTAAAAGTAACAGCCTATTCTTGTGTGTCACAGACTTCTGGAAATGAGTCATTTCCAGGGAAATCACTGGATCTGAAACAGTGGAGCAAAAGCCCCCTTTCCCACCCATCCACGCAGGAGCGAAGGATAGGTGTGCACCCTCAAATGGCTTGTTAATCAAAATTCCCCAAACTGCCTAGCCAAATGCTGAATTTTCCAATTTCTTTTCTGATCAGAAAAGGAATATGAATTTAGATGTCAACCCTAACAATTTGGAGGTATTCTCATTTTTTTTCAAAATCACATATAATCTGTTCTTCTTCCTTCTGGCAAATACAAAATAGCCACCCTCAGGGAAAAGGAAACTTATATTTATAGTATAAGATAAAATATAATGTGATTTTGTTAAGATCCTCTGCTGGATCACTAAAAAGGTTACTGATTCTTGTCCAAACTGCCACAGAAAAATCTATGCTAGTAGGAAGAAAAATTTCCTTAGCTCAATGGTGAGATAATATCAGTAAGCAATTTATTAAAGAGCCCGCCATCCATCATTGGAGTTTGAAACAATAATGATGCATTGAAAGTAAGTATTCATCCCAGGGTGTTTCCTTCCCCCCTCCCCCCGCCCCACCTCGCCTCACAGATTTCTTCAGTCCCAATATCTCTTCAGTAAATTGTTAATAGTATTTCACTCTTTGTCTTTTTGAAAACAAGCCCAGGAATGAGAAGGCTCCAGCAACAGCTGTCACTAACCCAATGGTGCTTATTGCTCTGTTGGCCTATAAAGAAACGACAAACAAACAAAAACACATTTTATTCTAAAGGCATCTCAGTATCCTAAACCTAAGCTTTAGGTTTCTTCTTTTTAAAAAAATATATTTTTATTGATTTCCAGAGAGGAAGAGAGAGGGAGAGAAAGATAGAAACATCAGTGATGGGAGAGAATCATCTATTGACTGCCTCCTACAAGCCCCCCACTGGGAATCAAGCCCACAACCCGGGCATGTGCCCTGACTGGGAATTGAACCGTGACCTCCTGGTTCATAGGTCGATGCTCAACCACTTGGCCATCCCGGTCAGACTTTGGTTGCTTCTTAAACTGAAGACCCATCTTAATGTACAATGAATAAATTTAAAGCTCAATGCAAAATTTAAATTTTGTATGAAGATGGAATTTGTAATTTTTATAATTATGACAAAGACATAGATAAACACACATAGGTATATATATATAGTAGAGCCCCTAACCATTAATGAACCCATTATCACAATCCTTACCAATCATTACTCATGTTTTGCAAAATTTGAGAAGTTGAAAGTGATTTGCTCAAGGCCATAAGGACAGACTTAGCTATAAGTTGACTCTTGAACACCGTGTTCACCTTTTACACAATCCTACTCCATAAACACACACTGGTTTTGTTGGATCTATACCATGGTGAATAGTGTGTGTGTGTGTGTGGGGGGGGGTGTTTTCCCTGACTTAAGAATGTCTGTTAGCAAAATAATTCAGGGATGTGATCTGAGCTAAATATCTATAAGCTCTTATTTGGTAGATACCATTTGTATTCTGATAAACTTGAAAAGAAATCAATAGTAATGTTAATTATCATGTCAAAAATTAATTTCCCATGTAGACAAACTAAAATAAACCATTCTCAAGCTCAATTGTCCATAAAAGAGTTCAGACAGTTATAGCTTTAAGGGTATTAATCATCATCATCATGAGGGATCTAATGAATATTCATGGTTTTCATGGTAATTCACTGGTATTGCCTTCCATCTGCATGGGTTTGGGTACAATTTTATGACCCAACGGTCACATCCAGACACTTCCGTATCAGGTATTCTGGAAACAACAGGTGTTCTCTAGAATTTAAGAATCAGGCTCCCAGACAAAGCAAAACCTTTTTCCCAAGTGACTCTGGAGACCTGCCCCAATGCTGGAAAGCCTGAATCAGCTCACATTTGTGCATGCCCTCTGTCTGGCCCCAGGCCTCCTGCACCCATCCGTGAGCCTGCCACCACCATGTTACTGACACAGGCTGCCTCCCTAACTGGGCCTCCCTGCTGGGAATGGGCAGAAAGAGCCCTGGACGGGAAAGGAGTGCAATGATAGACCCTTCCTGTCACCATCCGGTGGGCTGCAGGGACAAGGCCTAAGATAGTAACCCCCTAATCTGCCACCTTCCCCAATTGCCAGGGAGAATGGCACTGGCAAACAACAGACAAATAATATTTTAGTTTATAATTCTAATTTTGTTTGTTTGGTTTATTTATTTTATTTGTAATTTTTAATTAGTCGCTACCTAAGTTATTTCCCAGGAGAGAGCCAGAAGCTTACAGCTACCCACATAGCACCTGGGTTGCAAAAAGGGGCAGGGAGAGATACAAGACACAAGACAATATCAATAATCAAAAATAAATCAAGCCCAACCTTCCTACACCTCCAGGCAGATGCTGAGCTCCCCTGAAGGCTTAATACAGGAAAATGTGGCAGACAATGCAAAAGCAGAAAGGTGCCTTCGCTGTCTTTAAACAGAGATCTCAAATGGCCGTAGGGTCCAGCCCTGGAAACACTCAAGGTCCTGTGGGTAGGGAGTGGCCCAGCTAGATGCAGACTTAACTCACTGGGTATTGTTCAGCCACTTAGAAACACAAGATGTGAGAGAAATCCCGTAAACCTAAGAGGCCTGGGGAGGGGACAGGCAAGTTGATCCTAAACCAAAGATTGCACAGGCCAGACACAATAATACTAAAGCCACTTCTGTCAGTGCACACGTTTTCCCAAATCCCAAACGCTTATTTCAAGTTGCAGTCTAGATGGCAAAATCCCATGGAATTTGGACAATTCCTTGGAGTTGCATATAATGGGATCTGATCTGTGAGGTTATAACATCAAGGGCTGTACTCGGTGAACCCCACGAACAAGAGCTTTTACTTGATGGCTTACTTAGGATTGATTATAAAATCACCAAACCTGACTCAGCAAACATCAGTCTTATAAGGCTCTCTGTCTGTGGGCCACAGTGAAGGCCTCATTCTGAGGATCTGTACATGTCCAGTGAAGCCTTAGCTGAGTCTGGAACGCTATGTCAGACACACTGTAGCCGGTTCCCAGATGGCTGCGGACTTGATTGAGTAGCCTCTTCCCGGGGACCCTCAGGCTGCGGTACTGGGCAGTGCAGCACAGTCAGGCTGTGCTGTGTGTCTCCTTGTCCAGGCCTATTCAAGGGTCTTCCATCTCCCACAGAAACAGGCACATTTTATTGGTTGTTCCAGCACAACAGCGAGAAATGTTGATATCAGAAATTTTTAAAAATATAGAAAAGAAAAGCCACAGACTGGGAGAAAACTTTTGCAAAAGACAAATCTGATCAAGATTCTTATCCAAAATATGCAATGAACTCTTAAAACTCAATAAGGAAACAAGCAAGCAACCCAATTAAAAAAGGGCAAATGATCTCAAATGACACATCACCAAATTGATATGCAGATGATAATAAGCATATGAAAAGATACTGAGCATCATGGATTCATGCCACGGCAAATTAAGATGAGATACCACTATGCACCTATTAGACTGACTAAATTCCAAAACACTGACCATACGAGGTGCTGGTGAGAATGTGGAATGAAAAACGGCACCGCCACTTCGGAAGGCAATTTGGTGGTTTCTTACAAACCTAAACAGATTCTTAGCAGACAACCCAGCAATCATGCTCTTTGGTATTTACCCAGAGGAGCTGGAAACTTACACCCACACAGAAACCTGCAAAAGCCTCCAGAACTCTAAGAAATAAAGGTCTTGTTTAAACAACCCAGACTATGGTATTTTGTTACAGCGGCCCAAGCTGACAAAGACATCCACACAAAATCCACACAAAAGCTATTTATAGCAGCTTTATTCATTGTTGCTCAAACTTGGAAGCAACCAAAATGCCCTTCAGTAGGTGAATATACATCCAGATAATGGAATATTACTTAGTGATGAAAAGAAATAAGCTATCAAACTATGAAAAGACATGAAGGAATTTTAAATGCATATTTTAACAGTAAAAAGATCAGTGGTTACCAGAAGTTTAAGTGGAGGAGGTGTGAATAGGCCTAGAGCACAGAAAACTTTAGGACAGGGAAAGTATTCTGTATGATAATCTAATGACATAATTTGCCAAATTCTGTAGAAGAGAGAACAGGAAGAGAGAACCCTAATGTAAACTATTTTTATAGGAGGAAAAATGTTTTCTTTACCCATCTTTGCTTCTCAGATGAGCCACTGTCATAAAAGACAGGTTATAAAAGACAAGAGAAAAACACAGTTTATTGACATATACATCTCATATATACATGAGAACCTTAGAGAAGGGTAACTCAAAGATGTGGCTAAGAATTCAAGCTGGTATGGCATTTTCAACAAAGAGCAGACATTTGTAGAAAAATGATAGGACAAAGGAAAGCGGTTTTAGGCTTCCAAGGAGAAGCCTAACTGTAGGAAAGTCAACTCATGAGAAACTAATGGTAAATAGTGGCTAGTCAGTAAAGTTTGTCATACAGATTCCTCTGATGCCCCCTCCAGGCTGATAAATGCCTTACCTTAACCACAGGTTGTCCCAGTGATTAAGTTTTGTCCTTCCTACTAGAGAGAGGAGGAGGGACACCTGTGAAAATTTATGTCTTGCTTTTAGGCAAATAGGGGAAAGGGATTTTTGTGTATCTGCTTCTTCTCAATGCCTTCAGCTCAAAATAATCTTTATGCCAAAGTGATATATTTGGGGGTGACACATTCTGCTTTCTGTCACTATAGACTTTGGTGGGTAATGATGTACAAATGTTGGCTCATCGTTTGTGACACGTATACCACACTGATGTGGGGGGTTGATGGTGGGGAAGGCTATGTATGTGTGATGGGCAGGGAGATATAAGGACTCTATACTTTCTGCTCAATTTTGCTGTGAACATAAAACTGCTCTAAAAAATAAAGCCTATTAATTTTTTTAAAAAATACAGAAAAGTACAAATTAGAAAAAAATAGGGCCATATCCTACCTACCTTTCTCATCTTTTTAAAATGCATCTACAATGTTGTTGTTTTTAATTGGAGGAAATACACAGCCATTCCCCAAGAAAACTGCTCTAATGTTAAGACCCATAAGCCTTAAGGGGACCCAAAACTCTAATCTAATACTAGCTATTACTAGTAATAATGCTATTAATTAGTGACAATAACAAAAATAATTCAAGTGTTGTATTTCCTGTTAGATCAGCAGATATTTTACTAAAGAGTGCCAACAAAAATCTATAAAATTCCTGAATAGTGCAATTAATAATATCCAGCATTCCTTAGGATGGATGATAAGCAATACAGAATGCTAAGAAAGAAAAAACAGAGAGAGAACCCATGGACATGGACAACAGTGTGGTCATTGCCAGGGGGGAAGGGTGGGGCAGGTGGAAGAGGGCATAGAGGGGATAAATGATGATAGGAAAAATAATAAAATAATACAGAATGCTAAGATATTTCAAATATCTCCTATAATTTACAAAACAACCTCAATTTATGAATTAGGAAACTGATAAACAATGAGCCCCAAATCACCCAGCTAAGTAATAAAAATGGAGTTCTATGTCAGGTCAGCAGAATTCCAAAGCTAAGGTAGGTTCTTAAGGTTGTCACTGCACCATCTTCATCAGAACTTGTTAGAGAAGAGTTCTACTGATTGTTGAGGGATGATTGATTTTTATGAGTCTTGATTGTGGGTATGAAAGGTGATTTGTGTATATATACTCTGTGTTCTAGCTCAGAAACAATTTATTGTTCCATGTGAGTAGTACACTCATTACGTTAATGTATTTTCTAAATAAAAATGAATTTCCAATTAAATCACTTCCTAATGAAAACAAATGTATCCTTTCTTATTTTTCACCTCCCATTTTCCTCAGTTTCCATCAGAAGAATTTTAACCTCCTTCCTTAGAATAGATGTTTATATAACTGACCCACCATTGCAAGATACTGGAAGCCTTTATGTATTCACTAGAAGCCCAGTGCACGAAATTCAAGCACAGGGGGTCCCCTCAGCCCAGCCTGAACCCTTTCCAATCTGGGACACTTTGGGGGATGTCTGACTGCCGGTTTAGGACTATCCCGGGGATCAGGCCTAAACCGGCAGTCAGACATCCCTCTCACAATCCTGGACCGCTGGCTCCTAATCACTCACCTGCCTGACTGCCTGGTCACCCCTAACTGCCCCCCGCTGCTGGCCTGGTCACTCCCAACTGCCCCCTCACCAGCCTAGTTGCCCCTCACTGCCCCGCTGCCAGCCTAATAGTCCCCAACTACTCCCACTGCCAACCTGGTCACCCCCAACTGCACCCCTCCCCACCAGCCTGGTCACCCCTAACTGACCACCCCCCGCCAGCCTGGTCATCTCTTACTTCCCCCCCTGCCAGCCTGGTCTTACCCAACTGCCCCCCGCCAGACTGGTCATAGGCAGCCATCTTGTGATGGTGTGAGGGTTAATTTGCATATCATCTCTTTATTATAGAGGATTCTCTACACTTGAAAAAATCTTTAGGCTGCCAAACCGGTTTGGCTTAGTGGATAGAGTGTCAGCCTGCGGACTGAAGTGTCCGGGTACGATTCCGGTCATGGGCATGTACCTTGGTTGCGGGCATATCCCCACTGGGGGCTGTGCAGGAGGCAGCTGATCAATCTCTCTCATCGATGTTTCTGGCTCTCTATCCCTCTCCCTTCTTCTTTGTGGAAAATCAATAAAATATATATATATATAAAATCTTTAGGCTAAAATATCAGTGATGGAATTGAGTTGGTGGAATGATAGGTAGAAAAAGCAATTGAATCAAGCATAGTTTTAGTTGGAAAGTTGCCATACTACAAAATAGTGGAGGTAAATGACAAAGTTGTTAGCTACTTTAAAAATAAGGTCTTGAGAACTGTGGCTTGGTAATATAGCTTGATATCTTATATTGTGATTCCTCCAACTTTGTTCTTCTTTCTCAGGATTGCTGTGGCTATTTGGGGTCTTTTTTTATTCTAGATGAATTTTTGGAGTGTTTGTTCTAGATCTGGGAAATGTGCCGTTGGTATTTTAATGGGGATTGTATTGAAGGTATAAATTGCTTTGGGTAGTATGGACATTTTACTGATGTTGATTCTATCAGTCCATGAACACAATATGTTCTTCCATTTGTTTATGTCTTCCTCTATCTTTTTTTCAATGTCCTGTAGTTTTCCAAGTACAGGTCTTTTACCTCTTTAGTTAAGTTTATTCCTAGGTACCTTAATTTTTTTGGTGCAATGATAAATGGGGTTGTTTTTTTTAGTTTCTCTTGCTGTGAGTTCATTATTGGTATATAATAAAGCCATAGATTTCTGGGTGTTAATTTTGTATCCTGCTACATTGCTGAATTCATTCATTAATTAAGTCTAGTAGGTATTTGATGGAGTCTTGGGGGTTTTCTAAGAAACCATCAACAGAACATAAGAAAAACCACTGCATGGGAGAACATATTTGCCAATGCTATTTCAGATAAGGGCTTAAACTTCAAAATTTACAGCGAACTCATACAACTTAGCAAAAAAAAAAAAAAAAAGAAAAAAAATCCAGTCAAAAAATGGGCAAAGGCCCCTCACACCTGTCAGAACGGCTATCATCAACAAATCAACAAACGACAAGTGCTGGCGAGGATGTGGAGAAAAAGGAGCCCCTGTTGACTGCTGATGGGAATGCAGACTGGTGCAGCCACTGTGGAGAACAGTATGGAGTTTCCTCAAAAAGTTAAAAATGGAACTCCCATTTGACTCAGTAATCCCACTTCTAGGACTCTATCCCAAAAAACCAGCAACACCAATCAAAAAGGATATATGCACCCCTATGTTCATAGCAACACAATTTCCAATAGCTAAGATTTGGAAACAACCTAAGTGCCCATCAACGGATGAGTGGATTAGGAAACTGTGGTACATCTACACAATGGAATACTGCACTGCTATAAAAAAGAAGGAACTTTTACCATTTGCAACAGCATGGATGGAACTGGAAAGCATTATGCCAAGTGAAATAAACAGTCAGAGAAAGATAAACATCACATGATCTCATTCAGATATGGGATATAATGATCAACATAAACTGATGAACAAAAATAGATTCAGAGACAAAGTAGCACTGAACAGACCATCCAACCTCATAGAGAGGGCAAGGGGGTGGTTAGAGATAAACCAAAGAACCTGTATGCATGCATATTAGCATAACCAATGGACACAGGCACTGCGGTGGTGAGGGCTTGCCCTGAGTGGCCAGGAAAGAGACATACGTAATACTTTAAACAATAAAAAAAATAAGGTCAATTACTCCATTAAAAATAATCCAAAAGCTCTATGAATCAAAGAATCTACTTAAAAGCACAAAATCTCTTTGAAATTAGCATTACAAAGAGATAGAAAACATTTACAAACCCACCAAGATATGTCATCAGTTGGCCTCTGTCAGCTAATGAAAAGGAATATTAGAATTACCATCTGTTTTTGGTAAATTAACTTCCACTCAAAAAAGTCAACAATCTTTTCAGCATATTATTTTCAGTATATAAGCTTACTGATTTAAGACTGCTGCATGGTGAGGTAATGGGGAAGGGGAGTGTATACTAAAAGACAAAAGGCAATAAATGAGCAGAAAGCTATGGTCTTGATTCTGCTTCAGGTCCCTTCTACCCCAAATTTATAATATCCATGTTTAGTCTCAGTTTGGTCATTAACTTGCTGCGTGACCTTGGACAACTCAATTCCCTGCTTGGTCCTTCAGTGTTCCTGTCAGTTTGTATGAGGCCTGGGAACCTTCTCATAATCAATAGTTACCTTTTTCCCCCAATGTAAGAAACTCATTATCTCTTAAGTAAAACTCACCTGCTCTGAAACTCCTTCTCCATAGCGAAGCAAAGTCACAAAATGCTCACAGTTGTTGACCAGTACGTCATACTCCACCTCCTGTCCAATAACAAACTCTGACCGTTGCATGACTTCTTCCATGGGGAGAGGGGGGTATGTTTCATCATACTTATTGTTTATTCTATATGTGTCATTGCCTGCAACATCCTTCAAGAGCTGCATCTTCACCAGGGCCTTTCTGCTGAATACAGACTTGGCGCTTGTAAATGATGCAGGAATGACACCCTCTATAAGGAGAATTCTGGTTAGCAAGCTGCAGTGACTCTGCCCAGTGAACTTCCATGCCATCTAAAGACTGAAAGTGCTGGGATAACTGAACCCATCTCTGTTCCAAATGTATCATCAAACCAGAAATCACTTAACTTACCAGCCTAAGCACTCATTGTAATTTAACAACACACTTTTTCAATAATGTATAAGTGAGAATGCAAGACAACTTCGGAAAATTTACATCTCCCCAAGAGTAAATTGGGTAAGAAAACTGTACCCCTTCTTGAGTAATAAATTCTCTATCACTTGGTAGCATTATTAGAGATCTTGGTCCCTGTCTCTGACATAGTTCAGATAGGACCATTGCCCATGTTTTCTGTAAAGCGGGCTCTTTTTCAGCATGTGAGCCCTTCCCAGCTAATATTGTTGGGCTTGAGCAGTAGCGCATTATGATTAGTAAGGTGTCTAAGCTGCATTCCTTATCCTTACCTCAATTTTACACTTATTCTTTCAACTATGCTTTAATTTGGGTCCAATTTAAAACTTGCACAGTTACCCCATTCCTCTGATGGGTGAGCTGGGGTCAGCTGGAGTTACTGCTTTTGTTTCGTCAGTTTCTTTGGCCAAGAAACTAAGTCCTGAACTTGAACCTGAACCTGACCTAGTATGTACTGTCGGCTACATGTGGCCTCAGGCTGTGGCTTACCCACCTGTTATAAGGCCTCATGCCCTGTCACTACGTCTTAGCTGCCTCTATGGGTTAGCATTTGCCTAGACTGCCAGAGACATTTGTATCCTGGCCTGTCATAGTCAGTGTCCGAGGCTGGACAGGCAATTCCTCAGCGTTCAGCTCTACCGCCAGACTCCAGTCCCTCTCCGTCTGTCCAAGATGCTATGCTTGGCTATTGTTCCAATAAATCATGAGAGGGGAGGGGTCTGTATAACCAGCGCTTAGACACTTTTCCTTTTAGTAATGACTGAAAGCAAACTTTCTTTCTTGCTCCTCCTTTTTTCTGTCTACCAAGCTCCTCTTCATTGGAGCAGCATTTCCAAATCTTACACATTGGAAGTTCTTACACTTACAACATGTTCTACTTAGAATTATAAAACTTTTTTTTTACTAGTCTGATG